TTACTATATTATAATATTTATTATTAATTTTTATCAATACTATTGTAATTATTATTATTAAATGTAAAAATACAACAAAATTATATATTTATATATAAATATATTTACATAATATAGTTAATACCGTATATTTTCTTAAGAATATATCAATTTTTAGTGTTTATATTGATTTTTGTATAATATCTTGTTCCTGAATTAGCTTTAACTATTTAACTATTTATCAATACTTTTAATAAAATAGTGTCTACTAACTGGAAATACAAATACCATATTATCACAATGAAGTATATCAAAAAATCATATTTAGCTACTACATTTAAAGTTCAAACATTACGTTATTGTATAAAATATAGGTATGTTTATATGTTGTATTTTAATATAATTAAATATTATTATACATTAACATAACTATATTATGCTTATGCTAAAAAGTAATGATTTACTAAAATGTAAAAAAACTAAATGTTAACAACTAAATCATGTTAAGGAGACCATTGACTTACTAATGAAGTAATGATTTATAAATTTTTAGTTATTGTCTATGCAACTTATCATCAGTGTCTTAAATAACAAAATTGTTTTTCTATTTACTGAAAAAAAAAAAACAATTAATATTAACATTTTTTTATTACTAAGTTTTTAAATTGTAATTTAAGATTCTGAGTAAGCTATAAATGTATAGATTTTACATTAATATGTTTTTTATGAGTGTCATTACCTTTTGGAGAAGTAAAAAGGTTTTAATTTTCTTACTATTATTTTTTTTATTTGGGAGAGAGGAGAAGAATTTTGTTTTCAATTTAAATCTAGTCAGTGTTTTGATCAGTCAAAAGTAAAAAATCCTAATATTTTTCTTAATAATCTGATAACATTTTTTTGAAATTTTACCTATTTATACCATTATATTTATTCACCAGTGTAGAGTCTAGATCACAATAAATTATACACATAAAGATAAGTATAAAAAATTATTATATAAATAATAAAATAGATAAATTCAATTTTTTTATCAATAGCAAAAAATAGATACCTATTAATGATACTATTAATATTTATAGGCGAAGAATATGACTACTTGCGTGATAAACAAATTTTTTTAATCATTTTTCAAAATCTTACCAATTGAATGAATTTCACTTTTACACACATAAAAATATTGATGTTTAGCCTCTAAAACGTAATTAACCTATTTGGTTTACATTTCAACTAAGTAGTAAATGCGACACAAAAAAACAAATTACTATACTTACAGCACAACACGGCGCCACTAGTACCTACAGAGGTGTACGGTATAATATTGTTATTCGTGGTGCGTGAAAACCTATTAAATAAAAATTGTCATTTGTGTGCAGTTTTATTATTTACGCCGCAAAAGCTGTACGTCTGTACCTATACAGACTTTATCTTATATGCTGTCAAATAACCGGAAACATCACAGTACGACATAAATCATAATAGTATAATAATTCATGTTAAATATTATATATATAGTATATACACTTATATAGTATAAACACGTACAATAATATCGATATTCTGGCGTTGTTATAATAGATACGTTAGACGTGTCAGCGACATAGGCGTAACTAGACTTTAAAGTTAGGAGGGGTTTCAGTCCTAGGATTTTTATTATAAGTAAATTAAGTGGGAGGCTCTGCCCTCCATACCCCCCAAATACCTTATATTCATTGATTATACATGTAATATAAATGTAAATTAATATTTAATTATAAAAAAAATACTAAACCAAGTGGTATTGAGGTTAAATATTTATATATTAACATATTATTAAGTATTATTTTAGATATAAAGAATTTAACGATTTTTAGTTTATTGACAACTTCTTAGTAGGGAGTATTTGTGTGGTAAAAATTACACAGCATATGATACGTCTTACACAGGATCATTACATACAATAATATAGTTTAAATTAATATTTTTCCAAGATATTAATAAAAAAAAAATAAAACGATATTTTAAATTTAAGTTTAAAAATGTTACTATAATTGGCGGGAGTGTGGGACTAGGAATTATGACAGGGGGGGGGGATAAAATTTATGTTGGGGGGACTAAGCCCCCCCCAAGTCCCCCCTAGTTACGCCTATGGTCAGCGAGGCGGTATTATAACTCAAAAGTCAATAACAATAATACAGTATTACAGCATAATATGGTACATTCTGCTTTAAGATGTAGGTATACGTATTATTATTATATTATTATAAAAAAATGCGACGATTTCTGAATGTCTATCACTCTGTCGTCTATGCATACAGTAAACCGCGGCGGCGGTATCCACTGGCTCACCTCTTCTATATTAAATTGATGGTAACCTCGGGATGAACGGTGATTGAAGTAAAAACTTCGTAACAATTGTTGACGAAATACCGATAGTCTCTAGACGCTAATGTTGTACGATTGCAGACCGGATTGTCTGGCTGATATCTAAATCATAGTAGAGGAAAATATGCCTGCGAGTTATGGAAATTGCTGACGAATCAAATCGTTTTAGGTATATCTAACGCGTTAAGTCAAAATATACGATTTGAATACATAGGTAACCTACGTGAACTACGATGCTTAATAAATTATTTTTTTTCTTAAAGAAATCCGCAATTAAAGTTTGTTTATTATTGTTCCTGTCTTCGACGACGTTTTCCAAACTCGACAATGCGGAAAAAGCGCTATATCCCACACGTGTAGTAGTCTCGAAAAAATGTTTCAAATGTTTTTTAAAGTGCTTATAACTTGTAGAATTGAAACGGCAATGACTTCCTCCTCCTTTCGTGGTTCGTCTTCGTTTTCAATGGTTTTTGATAAAATGTCGTCATCTGTCCATGGTCCACACGGATTTTTAATCCAATTCGAATCCTCATTTGTGTCCATTGAAAAACTTTTCCCGCAAACTGTTTGAAAAACTACATCGTGTCTTTTCTTCCAATTTGTAAGTCAACCACTGCTGGCTTTAAAATTAGTGTGTCCTAGGTGTTTTGCACATTCGTTTAATTTTTCAAGTAAAATCATTCCACTTACTGGTATGTTTTTATCTCGGCACTGAGTAAACCATTTTATCAGTGTCCAAAAAAGAAGTCATTTTTTTTCATATTTCCATTATTGAACGTCAGAATTTCATCTTTTTTTTTTTACATAATGACGTATTTGGCGGAATTTTTAATTCGTTTGCGATTTTACATTTTTACGGTCATCTTTTTTAATTAAATATATTAAACGAACTTTGTCCGAAATTTTAAGCACATTTAATTCACGTTTAACATTTTCCATTTCATTGTGTTGCATGGACGTACGCGCACAATCGCTATATTAAAATATGTACTGTGCAATTTTCTGTTATTACCGTAATAAAAATGTTATTTGTACTAGAAATAACGAATATCGATTAATTTCATATCGAGTTATTAAGAGTAAAACGTTATTGAGTGTAATGGTAGTTTCAAGGGGAGTTAAAATTAAGTTGGACATTAGTGATGTTCGACATATTAAGAAGAATCTGTGTATATTATAAATTGATAAATACTCGTAATGTTCAAAAAGTTATGATTGCAGATATAAATATATAGGTATTATTTTTATGATACCAACCCAATACTAAAGTATTAAATTATACTCAGTTTATAATTAAAGTGTGGCTAAATTCTATGATATTGTGCGTGTATAATGTACATGCATTATTAAAATATAATTTATAAAGGTACTGGAGTTAATTTTATGTTCGATAAACATGGTTGTAAAATTGTGCTCCCACATTCGATAATAATAATAATAATAAATATTTAAAAAAATATATAATCTTTGTCGATTTAACTGTAAACGGTTGAATGTATCCAATTTCGATATAGGATGGTATCATGCGTCATAATGCATCATGCGCTTTTATTATATAAAAGAAAACAAATATTAAGCAACGTTTGTATGCTTATAATATTATGCAAGGTCGTCTTATATGGTTATGTGAATTTAAGTAGGCATAATAATTGTTGTTGCATGTTGCATATTATGAAAAAAAAAAAATAGAGAAACAACTATAAGTATTATAAGCAATATTATGTAAAAGTAAATTAAAACTGTGGAAGTAGTTTTGTCACTGATTTTAATAAAAAGAGATTTATAAATTATTAATAGGTTTTCATATTTTCATAATACTCCATAGACTACATTATAACTAGCCTGTGATATTGCTGTTATATTATTAAACATTGAGCCAGTGGCTAACACGCTTAGTAAACTTGAGGGCCGTGGCTAAAATTTCCAAATGCATCTTTCATTTTTTTCATGACTACTAATAAACCCAGCGGGATATTTATGACGGAGCCCTCGAGGTACGTCTAAGTTTGGCGACCGCAGTAACTTTCATTATGATATTAAAAAACTACAGAGAAATTATTATTCTTTTAATCAAAAGAAAGCTTAAAAAGTTTATTTTTCAATATACATACATCGTAGTTTTAAATAAACTTATAAGTGTAAGAAAACAATTGTATTAGGTATCATTATTATATTTTTATATTTTAATTTTTTTGCTTCTAGCGTTACTGTTTAATAATTTAATTTCCGTGCTAAGTGAGCCTCCATCTCTCTAGACCAGCGGTTCCCAAACTGTGCACCGCGGTGCCCTAGGGGCACCGCGAGCACTTTCTGGGGGCACCGCGGTCTACGTTTCATAAGTTTAAAATGTATATAAAAACCATATGCCCAATTACTGGGTTTGGTATTTATCAGTATAATATTATTACCAGATATGATTTTATGGGTAATAAATTATTACAAATAATTGTTGATTGTTGACTGATTGTACCTTTATTATCTAATCATGTCAGACGATGTATTCAATTAACTATTACTTATTAGTCTGTTAATTGGAACTACTTGAGCTCTTTACCTTCAGTAGTGTGCGTGACTTTACACCGTTTAGTCGAATTGTGTTATTTAAGTATCTAGTGCGCGCATTGTTTACGCCGTTTACGTGTTCTTCTCTTTTTTTAAACATGGACCGTTGGTTGAAAGGTGGACATTTTAATAAGAAGCCTGTTACAGAGGAATCTCTTAGTACTCAGTCCGTAGAAGGCAGAATCAATGACGAAAATGGTAGTCAAGTAATTCATCATTGTAATTCAAATGCAAATGGTTTCATAAATCCGATCAAAAAACGTAAATACAACGAAAGTTATTTAGAGATGGGGTTCTCAGAAACTAATGATTGCCAGCCACAGTGCGTTATTTGTTTGAAAGTTCTTCCTAACCGTTCCATGTATCCCGGAAAATTGCGTCATCATTTTGAAAAGACCCATCCGGATTATGAAGGTAAAACGACTGACTATTTTAAACGAAAGCGCACTGAACTATTGGCTGTTCAAAACAAAATAAAAACACACGTTCAAACTGACAACGAAAATGCATTGAGAGCTTCTTACATGGTGAGCTACCGCATTGCTCAAAAAGGTGAAGCTCATACTATTGCTGAAACGCTTATAAAACCATGTCTTATTGATATAGCAACTTGTATGCTTGACGATAAATTTGCCAAACAGTTGTCAACAATTCCTTTTTCAAACAATACTGTTGCGCGACGAATAGCAGATTTAGCTACAAATGTAGAACAAACACTTGTCTCTATTATTAAATACAGAAAATTTGCTCTACAAATGGTCGAATCAACTGATGTGGCAGGTCTAGCTATTTTGTTGGTGTTTGTTCGTTACGAAAATATTCATTCTTTTGAAGAGGACCTTTTATTTTGTCGACCACTTTTATCAAATACGACGGGGGTCCAAATTTTCGGATTATTGGATGGTTTTTTCACCGAAAATAAGATTCCATGGACCAATTGCATTGATGTGTGTACTGATGGTGCGAAGGCCATGGTAGGAGCAACAGCTGGAGCAGTTGCTAAAATAAAGGAAAAATCTAAAGAAATTCGCAGTAGTCATTGCATACTGCACAGACATGCTCTGGCAATGAAAACCATGCCTTTTTCTTTGAAAAACGTTATGGATGATGCTATAAAAATAATCAACTTTATCAAGTCACGGCCTCTGAAATCCCGACTTTTTAAAATTTTGTGTGATGACATGGGAAGTCTTCATAGTACATTACTTTTCCATACAGAAGTCAGGTGGCTGTCACGCGGCAAGGCTCTTACGCGGTTAATGGAATTACGAACTGAAGTTCTTTTATTTTTAATGGACCAAAGCGTTACATTGGGTAAAATCATGAAAGATGTAACACGGCTCTGTCAATTTTCATACTTGGCTGATATTTTTAGCAAAATGAACTAGCTCAGCCTTTCCTTACAAAGAAGGACTATGACAATTTTTGATGCCAGCCACAAAGTAAGTGCATTCAAAAGGAAAATTGATTATTGGGCACAGTGTACTACTAAAGGCAAATTTGAATGTTTTCCAATAATGCAAGTCTTTTTAGAAGAAAATGATGAGCAGGCTTCTACTAATATTGTCAACGAGATTATTGAGCACCTCAAACAGCTAAAAAATTCTTTTGAGCAATATTTTCCTGCAGATAGGGAAGTATTGTTGAAAGACCATGAATGGGTACTGAATCCATTCTCAGTTTGTATGAAACCTTCAAGCTTATCTTCAAGTGATTACGAAAGGTTGATCAATTTAACTTCTGACTTAACATTAAAATCTTCCTTCAACAGCAATTCGTATGCCGAATTTTGGTTAAGTTTGAAAGACAAAAGTTATGAAGGTTTAAGCGAGAAAGCGAAAACATTATTTTTACCCTTTGCCACTACTTACTTATGCAAGTCAGGATTTTCGTCATACGCTGCAACTAAAACCAAATACCGCAACCGCCTCAATGTTGAACCTGACCTCCGACTCCAATTATCAAAAATAAAACCTGACATTGCAAAACTGTGCCAAAATAAGCAGCCACATAAATCACATTAATTAAAATTAAATTGTAAATATTTTTCATTTGTAATATTTTTATGTAATAATTATAATCATAATAACAATAATTTTAATTTATTTATCTTTTTAAAAATGAATTAATTTATAATTAAATTAGTTGTGTAGCTTAGAATGCTTAGATTGTATTAGGTTTAATACAATTAATAAAATTGGTTCTCAATGAGTACTTTTTTTGTTTTATCTTTCATGTTATATACAGCAGGGCACCGTGGCTAACTTGGTGCCTCTAAAAGGGCACCGCGGAAAAAAAAGTTTGGGAACCGCTGCTCTAGACAGTCTAGACTAAAGCCTAGTGCCACCAAGTTTCACGAATTCGCGGTTGGTACTTTACTAAATAAGCCTACACATTTAATATAGTTCTCTGATGATAGATATTGATATAAAACAATATATTAATATTACGTAATATATATATATATTTATATGATTGGAAACAGGGGCGTCATTTAGGGAGGGGATTAGGTGTGTGGTTGCACCCTTTATTTTTAAAATAATATACTAATTGGCCTACGCCTTGCTAAGCATTATGCTCAAAATTAAATTTTCTTAAATTGTATTTTAATTTTTATATTGACATTTATCAATATTGGTGTATATGGGCAATTATTTTGATTGTTAATTATTTATTATATTTTAGTTTTTAAATTGATTTTTACTGCCTATTTATATTAATATATTAATGTATTGATTTGGTCCATGAGATGTATAAAAATAATTAAAAGCAGGATATTTATTAATTTTCTACATTTTAATTTTTATTATTGGCCGGAAAATGTTATAACCTTAAATCTTAATCATGCAGAATATTGTAACTTTATAGTAGAGAATTTTCCTTTTTATTCAGTTACATGAAAACCTGCTTAAAACGGACATTTTTATTGGTGTCATGCAATTTCTCACAGGACAGGTTTTACTGTAGTATTATATAAATTATAAAATCATCATATAATTTATACATATAATAATACATGTAATTACGTCAAATTCTGTTAACCACACAACAGTAGATATATAGATTAGGTAAATAGGGGTAGGCCATAGGTAAGTACATAATATCATAATAGGTTCATAGGTACTTACCAGTGGTAAATTACCATTTTGGATCGGGTGCGGTTGATCGTGGCCAATTTTTTAAGTTGTAGCTTATTGCCCTTGTGAGTGTGTCGCTATCTGCCATCTGTTGCCGTTGTTTCGTGTTCAACGGACGATCGGTGTTTATAATAAAACATCGATGGCGCCACTCATTCAATAAATTGTCATACGTTGTGACTCGTGATAATTATATTGTTATTAATATACAACGTTGAAATATTATTTCACTAGTTAAAAAGTTAATTTTTTTTTAAACTTTATAAATTTAACTAATTTGTAAATTTTCTAATCAACTTTATTACTTAATTAGTTGAGATGACGCGACAAATGCATTTGTTGTTTCTGTCTTATAAAACCTACAAATGTACAACTACAATATTATAGTAAATTTTACGTTTGCTATAATTCATTTTACACTGTTGTTCTTTTAAAATTAATGTGAATTGACTTTTTATACCTTTAAATATCCAGGCCATTTCGTAGCATTTTATTAATATTTTAATTTTAAAGCAAGGTATGATCATTTTAAAACTTGAAAAAAATCAACAATTTTACAATACTTATAATAGTTGCTTTCTAATTTAAATATTAATAAAAATATTCGAGATGCCCTAGATATATCATTAATTAGTTTTTGTTTTAAAAACAACAATGTCAAATATGTTTTTGTAAACGTAAAATTGCGTGATATTCTTTTAATGTAATCATATAATAACTAAGCTCTTTAATTTAATTTAAATGTAATGTGTGAAGTTAAAGTCGAATTAATATATATATGTAATAATTGTGTAAGTTTATTTCATTAAATTAATTTTATTATTTTTTGTTTGTTCATGCAGTTATATACGTATGTCAAATAAAAATAATTAAATAAATATGTATTTGAATAATATTATTCATCAACATTTCAGTATAATAAAACATTATTATATAGTATAGCTTACTATATTTCCAGTAATTGCGGTAATCGTGTTTTAATCATAAATTCATAACATATATATAACTACGTATTTATTAAACGTGAAATCTTTATAATTATTTATACATATTCATTATAAACGTTGTCGGTGACTTAGGTACTGTTTAGAGTGTGGTTGAGAACGATAAGTTTTTAACAAAGTTAATACAATATTAATTATTGTTTTCCAGCTATTCTAACTTTTCTAGCTATCGTATGTTTATTTGTTTCCCCTTTTATTTTTTATTTTTCCCATATCCCACGGTCTCGATTTCCCTTCGAAACTATTTAGTTCCGTTTTGTTTCCTTCGCCTTAGTTACAATAGAGTATCAGCCCTTTATAGTACAGGAAATATACCAATTGCAAGTTTTACCTCTCCCCAAAATCGTATTTATACTGTTTTCATATTACATAGATACTCATGTAACAATTTATAGATGTTTAGACGTTCATCTTGTCCTATAATTTCTCGTGATCGTTCGTTCCTTAAATTCCTATAATTTATTCATGCCCTGTGGCTAATGGTTATACATAAATATTATATATAAAATTTCATCTTATCATCATTAATTTTATGATGAATTCTCACCTTCTTAATCCAAGAACACTAATCTAACTTCACTAATGTCTAGTGACTAGTACATAATACTAGCATATTATTTAATCAAATAATTGTTGAGCTTCTAATATTAATAAATTAAGGGATGTATAATTTATGTTATCATAACGTAATGTAACGTAATTTAATGAAAGATTGTATGTTTGATATTTGATTCTGACAATAAAACTTTTTTATTTTTTTTTTTTTAACAAAATTATTTAATGAAGTATATTTAAGCTATTTCGAAAAGTCACAATCCGAATATTATTTTTAGACTTTCTTAAGTTTTATGTTTTTTTAAAAGATTTGAATAGCTATATATTTTGGAAATATTTTGAAAGTTTATTTTATTTATTTTTGTTATTACAGTTAATATATAGTAATATAATATCAAATACGATTGCAAAAGGCGAGTAAAATATAATGCATTATAATATATGCAACGTAGGCTGGAAAGGAAAATAGACTATAATTAAGTGTTACGTCTTTTTAGTATATAAACGAAAAAGAATCTTTAAAATAATGTCCAAAGGGGAAGAGGTTCAGCCTTTATGGCCACTTTTACACCTGGCCTTGATAATAGAGTATGTACGAGAATAAATATTGCTAAATAACCATTTGTCAATACTTAATACCTTACACGCCTTTTATTTTATGTTACTTAATAATATAAAAATTCATTAGTTATCTCAAAAACATAATTTATATATGGGGTTAATCGAGCACCAAGCTTATCCCTTTTTTCATCAATAATACAATTATTTAAAATCTATTTTTTGGAATTCTTAAATATAATAATTAAAGGCCATATTTTTAAAATTTTAAAAATTGTTTATACTATTAATGAGTTTCTTGAAGAGATACAAACTTTTATTTTTCAAATGCGAACTTCCCTTTTGTATTGTACACAATTTCAGTATTAGTAAATATTGTACGTACTAAAATCAAAATATCGAGCGATTTGTTTTAGTTATTTTATTTTGTATACTAAAAACTAATAGCTTTAGAAAATATAGGAGCTACAGTGATATGAAAATTTCAATAATTAATATTTATTTAACAATCAATATTTATAATTTGTAAAAATGTAGGTCAACATAATTATCTATAATAAATATTAGATCAAATAATATATTTCTCTAAAACCGTTTTTAAGTACTAGTATTCTTGGTACAAATATTTTAATAACTGAGAAACTTCACATTCAAATTTTGAATTAGATGAATCAAATTTAAAAAAAAAATTATTAACTAAATAATTTACGAGTACAATAAAAAGGAGGGTTCTCATTTCAAAATAGAAATTTGTATTGCTTCAAGACACTTCTTAAAAGTAGTAAAAAACATTTAATTCATTTGAAAATACGGTTTTTAAGTATAAGATACTAATTATTCTAAAATCAGATTTTGAATAAATTCCTCATTGAATAATAATAATAATAATAATATAAAAAGAGAATGAAATAAGAGTGAGCAATTGACATACTTCTTGGTGAATCACCTTGTGACTTATATACATATGTTATCGATGTTATAGACGTGTCTGCGTATTTATATATTATAGTGTATCACTAGAAGTGTTTCGTCTTCTTCATTTGTTTACGTCACTTGTCAGTCCAATGGAATGTCTCTATATATGATACACTAAAATCTAGTAAATCTAATATTTTGTTTTCATGAAGTTGTATTTAATACGCAATTACTACATTCTGAATGGTTTAGATAAGTGTAAGCGAACCTGCACTTTAGCTATATACTAACTGTCAGTGCTGTTATTTTTCGAACCAAACTTTTTATAATTTGCTTAATCAATTATGTATAATTATGATAAATGATAATCAACGAAGAACTTCGTTTGATTTTGTGTTACATTTGAAATTAAACCTATCAACATTATATGATATAATATACTATTATTTACTTTCGGGAATTTTCGCATAAGAGTTATTTAAAAAAAAAAATAGTTTTTTCATTTTAGTTTTTTTTTTTTTTTGTAATTTAAAAACGAATAGCTGAATATGCTTTCGTTTTTGTTTTTAAAAACTCATACATTAAACTTTTACCGGAAAAATGTTATGTTTAAAATATTATTAATAATTGTTGAGACTTATGGGCAAACATGTTTTTAAAAACCTACGACCTTTTAGAAATGTTTTAACGCTATCCAACATTATGCCTTAATTATATCAGAACTAATAATTAAAATTATGCACTTTCTTTAGATAAATATTTTAACTTCATTGTTATTATTTATTAAACTATAACGGCTTTTAAAACATTCGAATTTTCCCATTAAATAAATCTATAGGTTGCTCGAAATAAAAT